GGGATCCCACATGCCGCGGAGCGGCTGGGCCCGTGAGCCATGGCCGCTGAGCCTGCGCGTCTCGAGCCTGTGCTCCACAACGGGAGAGGCCACAACAGTGAGAGCCCCGCGTACCACAAAAAAAAAAACAAAAAAAAAACATTGAAAGAAAAAACGTGGGGCTTACTGGACAGTCCTTTCTCTACATCGTTTCCTCTTTAGTCCCTGTGGTCATGACTCCAGGGCTGGGGGAGGAGGGAGCATCTAAAGGCTTGCATAACGAGGCATGGTAACCAGAAAGTGCTCAAAGCAAATCTCTAGTAACGAAGAATGGGATTGGGGTCCAGAGCGTCCTCAGCAACTGGGTGCTGTGGTGGACTGTTTGCAAAGACGTCCACAGTAGTTGCCCGATGGCCTCAGGGATGCCCCTTGCATCGTCACTTCACAAGCAGTTTACTTCTCCATCCCACAACTCTGGGCTTGGCTGTGTGACTTGATTTGGGGAATGAGATATTAGCAAATGTGACACAAACAAAGGCTTGAAACCCCACTGGGGTTTTCCCATTTGGGGCTCTTTTTTTCAATGGCCAGGAAACTGTAGCCACATCAGTGGCCCCAGTTGAACCCAGTCCAAATCACCAACCCACAGAATCTCGAGCGAATAAAATGGTTGTCGTTTTCAGCCACTGAGTTTTGACAGAACTTGTTATGCAGCAGTTGATAACTGATACAAAGGCCTTAAGCCAGGCTTTACTTCTTTGTGCCTCAGTTTCTTTATCTGTAAAATGTGTGTCAATTAAATAATGTGTATAAAGTATCTAATACAGTGTGAGATACATTCTGGCCATGGTTATTATTATTATCCTTGTTTTGAGGTCCAAAGACGAGATTTGACTTGGCCAAGCTGGGAGGTTGTGCAGCAGGAATTCAAACCCACCTCCCCGCTGTAACTGGTTTGCTCTGCCATGATCCTGTATTGTCTTTCCTGCTCAGAATTCCCTTTCTCTTCCTCTGTCCCCCTCTGCTTTGTTAATTCCTACCCATCCAAAGGCACCAGGCCCAGAACTCACCATTGATCACCGTAGCCCGCCTGGGGACAGCCCTTTTCTGAACCCTCAGTCAATCTCTCACACATGCACAAACTCCACCCCTCATTTCTTCACTCAGTGGATATGTATTGATTGCCTACGGTGTGCCAGCACTGCCCTACAGGGACAGCTGTAGAGAACCTGGCTCAGCTCCCCCAGGCTCACAGTCTAGGTGCCCTCCCTCGGAGTCCAGGTATCCAGCACACGCTAGGCTCTGTCTTAGGCGGTGATATCACCAGTTCACAAGTTTACTCTTATCTCCCTGTGCAGATTCTAAACTCCTTGCAGGCAAAACCAGTTTCTTTCACTTATTCATAGATCCTTCCCTCCCTCCTTCAACAAGTACCCTGGGAACACCAAGGATGTACAAGACACTTCAAAGACCAACTCTTGAAATGTTCACGGCCGGCTGCTATGTCTCCTGTGGTGCTAAGTCCACAGAAGGCAGCCCCAAATATCTGAATTTAAATGAATTTCTGGGCAACTACTGAAAACTCAGTGCAGGCAGCGAATGACCTGGTGGGGGGCAGGGGGTGCTGTTGGCACCACCGTGTTCTCACTTTTCTACAGCACATGGAAAAAGGAGAGAGTGGGGAGGGGCTGGCCCTTCCTTCCCCACCAGCTCCGAGGCCATTGCCAGGCTGCTGGGAGATGGCAAGCAGGGACCAGCCTGCCTGCCTGGCCTGCGTGTCTAAGGCCAGTGTCACTTCTGTCCAGCCACCCTGCCCCATGGCCAGCAGGGACACCCATGTGTGGGCACCAGTGTCATCCTCCTGGTCCCTGACCCGCCTGCCCTATCCAGCCTACGAACTGGAGAAAGCTTCTATTGCCAGCCCACATTTCACTGAGAGCTGAAGTGACTTGCCCAAGACAAAACAGCTGGGTTCAAACTGAGGCCTTGGGCCCTAAGCACAGTGCTTCTCACCAAGATCCGACTCCAGGGAGTGTACGTGCCAACGGAAGAGACAGGGTGGAGACATTCAAGATAACATAAGGGGTTTTTTAAAACTGCCAAAGGAATTTGAGGCCCAGAGGTGACGGCTTGCTCACGATAGTGGAGTTTGGTCTGGGTTTGAAAACTGAGTGTGACTCAGACAAGCAGAGAAGGAAAGAGGGCAGTTGTAGTCCGGGGGATCTACAGGGGTAAAGGAGCCAACGGGGGAGAAATTTGGGGTGAACAGAGAGCACCCAGGAGGGGAGCCCAGCTGGAGCCCAGAGGAAAGCTTAGAGATCTGGGTGGGAGTGGCTGGGGTCCCGGATGTGGACCCAGTTGCTGGAACACTGTGGAGGTGAAGTGCCTGAGAAACATGAAAAGGTCCTCAACGGGGGAACAAACCCTCTGCAGAATTCTGAGGAGAAACATCTCACCTGGTTCCCGTCCTTGCCCCTTTACCACCCGGCTTCTCCACCGGGTGCTAAAGCGGGAACACACAGTCCACTTCACACTCGCCAGGGAGGTGGAGATAGCAGTGGTGATGGGAACTTGGGAACCTCTGATACGCTGTGTCTCTTGGTTCTCTTTGTCCTGGGCATGCTTACATATCTGATCCCCTTTAATTCTCACAAGGGTGTGTAAAAAGCAGGTATTATTATTTCTATTTATCAACTGTATTTGAATCCAGGTCTCCAGCTCCAGAGTCTGTGCTGTAAACCACAAGGTGATTTCCCCACAGTCCAATCTGACTCAAAGTCATATGTTTTCTCCAGCAGCAGTGCTTCCTTTATCCCAAGCAACGATCCATTAAAAAACTGCCAGGGTGCGAGTTTTTCTCCTTAACTTGGAATCACAGAAATGTGTGTTTCAACTTTTATAGATTAATCTCTAGGAACTCTCACCCCCATTTTACTGATTTGGAGACTGAGGCCCAGAAGATTGAATGCCTGGCCCAAAGTCCCATAGCAGGTTGGAGTCTGAGGCAGGACTTCCAACCTGAAGTACAGGCTCTTGGGCAAAGGCTCTTGGCCCCTGAGAGGACTACCACCTGCTGGTTGCACAGAACATGGACTTAGAAAGATAACAATACCAAAGAGAGGGGCCTCTCACAACCTGCTCTTCTTCCCCTCATACCAGAGATTTTCAAATATAATTTTAGCAGCAGAATCCTCCCCTTTTAATGAGAAGCTTTATAAGGAATCTCCACACACTTAAAACATAACAGTTTTTCTCTGGCCTGATTGCCTTAGGGGTGGCGGGCCTGCAGTTCTGTCTGCTGGGCCTCCCCACCCTGCTCCCCAAGGCTGTCACTGGGCCTCTCCTCACTCCTCCCAACAGAAGCCCATGGCTCCTCAAAGCACAGGCTGTAACTTCCCTCACTATAACCACTGTGCTTGTGTTCCCCATCCACTCACCTTCTTAAATTCTAACACCCATCCCAAACCCAGTTAGATCTTGCCTCCAAGCAGGGAACAAGGTCAGTTCTGGGCCAAATTGTGATGTTCTGAAATTATTCCCCTGAGATGGTGAGGCATGCTCATCCACCCCCCCAACCCCTATCCTCCACCCCTCACGTGACCCTCAGAAGAGTGTTCCATTTTGCAGATGAGAATACTGAGACCCAGATGAGCTACATGACCGCCTCAGGTCCCACAGTCAGTAAGGAGCGGGCCTCAGCTTCAGCCTGTCCTACCTGACCCACGCTCTCTCCACTCCAGCTTTGCGTCTTCCGGTTTGGGAGGTAATACATTCCCACAGCTGGCAGGTAATCTGGATCTCTGTGAACTTTTACAAATGAAACATGCCCGGGGCCCCTCCCCAAACGTACTGAATCAGAAGCTGGGGCTGTGAGTCATTACATCCCATTGTGATGACCCACTGTCACTCAGGCAAAAGACACAACAAAAAGGCCCAAGGTCACCCCAGATCTCTGGTCAGCCATCCCCCCGTGCTGGGCGCAGGAGAAAGGGGGCCCAATCCCAAACAGCAGCGGAGCCTGAGCGAGACTCACCGTGTAGAGCTCATTGGTGACCTTCAGGAGCTCCTCGTGCATCTGCAGGCCCATCTCCTTGCTCTGGAATATGGAAGAACAAGCGTCAGAAGGGCAGAAGGGAGCTGGCTGCACTGACCAATTTCCTCTTCAACACAGAAAGGGCAGCAATGCTTGGGGTGGGGTGGAAAGGGGTACAGAAAATGACATAAACTTCATTGACCCAGACCTGAATACCTCAACTCACATCCACAGAACAAATCCACAGAGAGCGGCTCCTTAAAACAGGAATTCCTGGGCCATATAAGTTGGGGGATCCTACACATCCCCTCCCTACCTTGATGCTTCACACAGACACCATATTAAAGATTCTGAGAAGCCCCACAGCCAATCAACCTGTTCAGCTTTCTGTAATTCTGGGTGTCTTCAGCTGATGTGACTAGAGTGTGTGTCCCTAGCTCAATACTCACTAAGATCTCATGAGACTGGGGTTCCAAAGAACCCAGTATGAGAAATAATGATCTAGCCTCTCAATTCAGTGAGCAGCTCAGGTAAACAGACAGCCCACTGGCGCTTGAGGCAGGGGGTCTGCGTTCTTGCCTGGCTGCACTGCCGACTAGTCACATGGCCTTGGAACCTAAGTTATCACATCTATAAAATAAAAAACTTTAAAAAGCTCCTTGAACAAAATGAGGCGGGTTTTCTTACTGCAGAACTTTTCAGAGGCTTTCATGCCCTCACATGCACGGACTTTGGGGCTGTAGGGTACAAGTTTAGCTGATCTCAATCCAAACCACGAAGTGACATACATATTTAGTATATTGAGGGACAAGAGTCAGAAAACAATGGACAAATTATCTCCAGGTTCCCTCCAGCCTGAAGATTCCAGGATTCTGTTATTTTGCATATTATTATTATTACAGTCAGCCCTCCATATCCATGTGTTCTGCATCCAAGGATTCAACCAACTGCAGATAGAAAATATTTGAAAAAAAATTCCAGAGAGTTCCAAAAAGCAAAACTTGAATTTGTCTTGTACTCTACTGCCAACTATTTGCATATAGCATTTACATTGTATTTGTAACTATTAACATAGTATTTAATAGTTATAGGTATTATAAGTAGTCTAGAGATGATTTAAAGTATATGGGAGAATGTGCATAATTATATGCAAATACTATGCCATTTTATACAAGGGACCTGAGCATCGTTGGATTTTGGTACCACGTGGTGGGGGGGGGGG